CGCTCTACATGTTGGTACTTGTAGGCTGTTGGCCTGTAAATTCAGTTTCTTCAGGATGTATGGCCACATCCATGTGATCATCAAAGACTTGGTCATCTCAGAGTTCAGTGAAGAGAAATGGGCGATGGTTTTACATGCTTCTGGCTATGCAGATGCTGATGTCTTAGACACGGTCCCACATCCAGATGCGGCAGCTGGGGCCCAACCAGAAGAAACAACTGATTTGCGGCCCAAAACATGTTTGTTCTTGTTGGCAAACTGCCCGGCCTTTTGTTGCCCTTTCATCAATACCTTTCATAGTATCCGGGGGTCGCACAAGAACGATCAAGAACGGCACGTGTTCAAAAACAGTCCATCAATCAGGGCTTCATTCTCCCAAATGGTTCTTTTGAAGTCAGGCGGCCTCGGAATCAGCCCCTCAGCCTAGTTGCAGTGATTTTGTTGAACTTTTAGAAGCGCTTTTCAACCAGGTGCAGAAAGGGTTTGGCAAGGGTCATGAAGGGATTGGCGGCGATACAAACACAGCAGTGTTTGTGGAACCCTAGGGCTCCAGTCGTGCCTCCTCAGAAGGTAGTTGGAGCCCTAGGGGAATGCAATCATGAATGAAACTTACTGTATGAATTATATCACGGATGTAATGTAGAATGTATTGTGTATGTATAATAATTGCCTTGACGATCTTTACGATCCTTTACGTAAGATCAGGGAAGGTAGTTTTGGGAACGATGTTGCTAGTATTTTGGCGAATATGTCATCGACCCGTGGTGCATGTGTGTGTGACCAGTCTTGGCGCCGAAAACACCAGTTGAACGACTCTCAGAAGCGGACCACAAGAGAGGTCTGTCGTCCCACAAGAGGGATCCTCCCGGTCCCTGACTGGATTCAAAGTGCGAGATTTTGGCTAGACCCTAGCAGAACTGAGCAGCTCTCCAGATGTCGTCGTGGATGGCTGCGGAATCAGGTCACCTTTAGCCTCTTGACCAGCCTGTGCATGATCACTGCTTGGTCTCCCGACGAAGCTGTGGAAGCACTGGGGCACCACCTCATCGTTTTCTCGCTGCGCTCTGGGCCGCTGGGAAAGAGTGAAGTTGCGGATCCCGGAAATCATCATGGTTACATGGATGGCACCACCCGTTAATTAGAGAAAAATGGTCTTCCAGAGTCCTATATTCCACTTGCTATGATTATTTCACTTTTGAAGACCCGTGCAGGACTGGTGTGTCGGGAGAGGAGGTTCATGTTGGATTTCACGACAAGGAGTCCATGGTCAAGGATGCATTGGGCTTTGCACCTGGAGACCCCTGCTGGCACCTAAATTCACAAGGTGAACCTTCAGCTGAACAAACCAAAACCCAACAGGTGTTATATACATATGCATTGCCCTCAGCAGTGCAGGTAGATGACCACGCTTGGGCGGGTACCCTTGTCGAGGCGGTTTATAGTTGATACATGGAGCCATTTGAGCCTTAAAGCTATGTAGTCTCACGAGTGCACGCCCTCAACCCAGCTATGTTGGTGCCATGTGATGCAGTGTCCGCGGTTAGATCCTCTCATTCCCAAAGGGGATAACCTGCAAAACCTTTTTGGGGTAATGGGTTTCCCCACTCAAAGTCATCTCAAATCCATCAGGTGGAAAAGGGTTCATGGTCATTTGCCAGGGAACTCAGGGAGTTAGCCGAGTCAACCAGAGCACGGCTGACAAGTCAAGCCCGGTCCGTGTCCTCCAACTTGCTGCCAGCCTGGCTGATCTCATCCGAACCCAGTGGGTCAAGGTGAAATCATCCCAGAAACAGCTAATCCACCTCAAAAGGAACAGTTTTACAAGGTCCTGCTGTAACTGACCGAGTTTTACGAGGTCAGATATTGACCTTGACTTGGAATTTCATCCTCACCTCCCCATCTGCAGTGACCTGTTGGCAATGCTTTCAGCACTGAGAGCCATTGAGAGCCTCAAATCGGCTGAGGCCGGTATGGTCTAGTGAGCCTAGTGGTCCAACACCATCGGTCCCACACCGGACCGCGCCGTGTGGAAGCCGTTCTTCGCCGCGGCACGACGTGGTCACGTCACGTGGTCCGAGGCACCAGCGCTTCTTGAAAGCCCAGGGAGCGACGTTACCCATCTTCCTGCAAAACGTCAATAGCGTCCATCGGCAACTGGAGCGCGAGCATCCAGGGGCGACCTTTCCTTTTCTACACGTGCGATGCTTGGCGCGGCGGTAAACCGGGGTTCGCCACGGCCGCGAAGGCGGCCCGCACAGATCGGCCGGGGGAAGAATAACCATCCAATTTGGGTCACCCATCATGGTTTGGAGGGGACGCTGCGAGAGTGCACATCAATGATGTGAGTTCTGAAGGATTCAGACTTTCCTTTCATGCATGATTTGTCTCACGTTCTATTAAGCTCCTGCTTTCCTATGTCTCGAAACCATTCCCTGGAGATACATGATAAAACTATATGAAACTCATGAATACTGAATACCATTGAATACCTGACGTCATGCCTGTTTTTTTTTTAACAGTTTCTCTCATCGTGGTTTGTGATTCAGCTGTCGGTCGTGGTGGAACCACCAGCTGGACCAACGGGTCCAGACGAGAGTGGGCGATTTGTTGGGAGAGGATTTGGGGTGGCGACTCTGGGGCTGCAGATGACTGAAGCAAGGCCGGCAAGGCGACTCTAGCTGCTAGAATGCATGCCCCATGTCGATCACACCGCAAGAATCAACCAGGCACTGCATTTGACTTGTTGGAGGTGATTCATAGTTAGGCAGGGCCAGCTTTTTGCCTGTGACTCGCTGAAGCAACGAAGAGGAATCCACCCGCAGCGGCTTCTCGATGATCGAAGAGCTGAAGCAACGAAGGTTGTAGTAGTTCCTCCCTCACTCATCAGCTAAATTTCTTCCGGAAGACACCTCACTCCTGGCTTCGACATAGATTGCACTGACGACACCCGCTGAACGCCCCAAAGACGTCTCAAGAAACCACGACATATCCAGCAAAAGCGCTACCGCTACATTAGGTATCATACTTCTGTCAATGTCTTGCCGCCTTGCCTTGAGGAACCTATAGCCCATATATTGGAGCTGTCCCATCAAACCTGCAACGGTAAACAATTATATATTACATGTTTCTAAGGCCTGCTAGCCTAGCCATCATCATCATCATCATCATCATCATCATCATCACCACCACCACCCCCGTCATCATCATCATCATCATCATCATCATCATCATCATCATCATCATCATCCACCGGGCCCGGGTAACAGGACTTGCGCAGCCCATAATAGCTCCTTCACTCCAGGATCTGACCAACCGGACCGTGCTGAGCTCCGGTACTTCTCCCCGCGTCGGGGCTTCGGGCGCTTTGTGGTGGGCGTGGTCCGGGCCATTGGGGCTTATCTCTATGGCAGCTCGGTGGCGCAAAGATCCGGACGAGGTTAAAGCATGCTAAACCTGAGGGGTTTTGCTCATGAGTCAGTCGTCTACATGAAAGATCCACTTGAAGTTGGGAGACCTTGGGATCCCTAGTGGAGGTATGTAGAATGCCGTGGCTGGTGATCACTGTTTCTGCATGAGATCTCAAATGGTATGTGTTTGGTTTGTTTGTGTGTGTGTGTGTCACCTCCCGTCTCCAGGGTCTCTACAAGCTACTACTCCCTAATTCTTTCTTCAATGGACAGACAGTAGCAGGGGCAATCCCACATTGCAGTCGATTGCCCAACGAAGAGGGCTACAATTGTGGCTGGGCTGCAATGGTGGCTGAAATCTGGAAAGGACCTTCTCCAGACGTACCTGCCACAATGTTTAACTCCAGTTTGATGATTTAAACAATATTGTTCAGCGGACTCTTTCGCCTCTCAGTTCCTCACAGGGCCATCCATTTTGAAAGTCTTAGGTCTCTGAGTGCTCTGGTATGCTGTAGCTGTAACTATTTTTTAATGATACGGCGACCACCGAGATCTACACAGAAATCTTGCTCCTTGGAGCTTTTTCTCAAGTGTGTCCGTGTGTGTGAGTGTAATTAAGATCAAGTGTTCCATTTATATTCCCCATAGTATGACCATTTAAGATTGTTTGGCTGAATTTTGGACAGTGGACGTGCCTCACGCATGCTAAGCAGATGCAAGCAGTGTAGGTGTATGTATGTCGAGATGGACACCTCCCTCCAACAATAATTGCTCGAGAAATTACAGTAGTTTCAGAGTAGATGCCGCTGGCAACCCCAGAGGTCTTAGATAGATGGGAGGCCCCGTATTACCCACCAAACTTGGGGGGGCCTTGTGCCATTTACTCTCAGAGCACTATCAGGTTGACCGGACCATGCCACGGAACTACCCTCACTCAAGTCCTGCGACTTGGTGTCGGTGGTTTTTAAAGGACTGGTGCTGAATCACCACGACTGTTATGAATGCCTGCTTATCCTGGTTTTGCTTGAGGGTATGTTTATTCCTATGATTGAATTCCTTTTGGTGAAATATGTTTTCCAGGTTCCTTAAGCATATCCAAGATATAGACGTGTATAGTTACTTGTTTTTGCAGCTCAGAGCTTGAGAGCATTGGAGAGGGGCCTTTCAAGCATTCTTGAAGAATTCATTGAGGATGCCCATGGTGGGGCCAATGGCAGGTTTATTGATTGCTCATCTTCCCGAGTCAATTCTTCGGCTTGGACCTTGTGGAATCTCCAATGACCCCCTTTAACCTCGTCCAAGCGCTGACAGTCAGCGCCCAGGGGTGGATGTCAGCTTTGAGGAAGCACCTATGAGCCCGATGTCTGGACAAACTTTCATGCCAGCCAACCTTCAAGCCAAGTCTTGGAGGATGTCCTGGTGCCCATTGCCAGAAGGAGCCGTGAGAGAGCACTGCAATGCCGGGGCCTTGGGGAGCGCTGTGCCAATGACCCCGTGAAACTTATGAGACACCATCAAAGCGTAGGGTCCCTGAACTCGCAACTGTCTATCTCTCTATCTCTATCTATCTATCCATACAAGGGCCTTCGGGCCTTCCCAGTGACCCTTTGAGATCCCAGTGGCTGTGGTGACTTAGGTCTCCTATCAAGGTCACTTCCCAATCCAGAGGTGACTGGGTAAGACTGGTGCCCTGGTACAAACAGATAGATATATATATATATATTAAGAGGAGGTACTGAGTACTGTAGGCAACCACAAGAAAGGCATCAAAAAGCGCAAAACATCCATACAAGCTGAATAGTAGGCATAAGTCATTGATTCTTGCCGCCAACAGATGGCATCCTGTCAAATCATATCCAATTATGCATCCGGTGAGCTGGCCTGGTGGTTCCTGGCCACCAGTGGTTCCTGGCCACCGGGGCCTGATTAGATCAGGTGCAACCGGCCTTCGAAGCGCACCATAAACAGAACAGGAAAAAAGGAGAATGGACCCCCCCCCGCATTCCATCTATGTTTGTGTGACACCTACGCCATCTTTATGGTATCAATATAATATTGCATGCATATTTATATATATATATATGTTATAATATATATATATATATATGTGTGTGTGTGTGTGACACCTCAAACGGACGAGCCCAATGATCCCAAGGGCCAGCCCGCAAGGTCCGCCGTCTTGGCCGGTCCCAGAGGTCCGTACGAGCAGCGAACGCACTCCAAATCGACCGTGCATGTTGATAAAGCTCTGTTTCTAAAGGCGATACCTTCCATTGCTTGGCGATACTTCCATTATTAAGCTCTGTATCTGTGACTTCTATTGATTACGAAAGCCAGCCTTCGTAGAAGGCGCCAGCTGAGTTGTGCTCGGCGAACGAAGTGAGTAGTTAGGGGGTCTGGGGGGGGTGGCCCGCAAAAGGTACACGTAAACTCGGCACATGCTGGGGGAGGAGGGTGGACGGATGGAAGGTTTTTTGAGGTTGTGTTGGAGGTGATTTTTGAGGGGTGGTGATGCAAGAAATGCAATTTGCATCATTTGCATCATCTGAATGGTAAGGTGTAGTTGGCACCTTGCCAGGTATAGATACCCAGGGTAGCTATAGTGCAGTTACCAGGTATAGTACTTCAAGTTCCCTTTCCATCAACCGCTCGATAACCTCTACACATGCACAGCAAACCACAGCTTTGAAGTCTCATTCGTGCTTTGAACTTATATACGTGTGTGAGAGGTATAGCAACATAGCATGTATACGGACCCAGGGTAGCTACAATTCTGTTCCCAGGTATCCCACTTCAATTTCCCTACCCTGGGTCCGCGCCCGCGCGCCTTGCTGGCTCCCGGCTGCCCGTGATTTAGGCGCGCGCGCGCGGACCCAGGGCAGCTACGAGGCAGTTGCCAGGTATACCCTGAGTTGCGCGGACCCAAGGTAGGGAAAATTGAAGTGGGATACCTGGCAACAGAATTGTAGCTACCCTGGTCCGTATAAATGCTATGTTGCTATACCTCTTACACCCCTATATAAGTTCAATGCAAGAATGGGACTTCAAAGCTGTGGATTGCTGTGCGTGTGTAAAGGTTATCGAGCGGTTACTATACCTGGTAACTGAATTGTAGTTACCCTGGGTATCTATACCTGCGCCAGCTGAGTAAGAAGGGGGATTCCGGGGGGGTGGCCTGAGGCCTGAGAAAGCACACTCGAAAGTACAAACGCCGGCTTTCGTTTTGCAGCTTCTCAGGTAGGTGCATGTTTGCTAGCCAATGGAAGTCTTTTCAAACTCATAGATGTCCGTTTGACCCACCGAAGATTGCGGCCTCTTGCGTATGGGTGACCACAACGAGACACCGAAGATTAGATCGTCCCCCACGCGAGGAGCTGAGAAAATCTGGGCGCGACCGCAGGATGCGAGGTCCCCGAGCGAGGCGGGGCCGCAGGAGGCGTCGATGCCCTTTGCCGCATTGCACTCTGCTATGATGGAAGCTTTGGCTTTGGCAGAGCGATTGTGTCTCACTGAAGGTGATTTGAGGGACACCAAACGACTAAACGAAACACTCCAGCGGACAGGAGTGCAGAAGCTCAGGAAACTTTACAAAATCTCAGAGGGTCGCCCCCTTGATACAACCACATAAGGGACTTGCTGTGCAGGAAGTTGAGCCATGGATTTGGAGGGCGCAGGGCTTGCGACATACGATCGAACGCACGCTCTTGGGCTCCAACCAGGTGGCACTTTGGAATGCCGTTGGTTTGGAGACCATTTCACGGTGTGACTCCTTTTTTTCACGTGTGAACCACATTGGTCAGATGATACGTACGGTCGCACCCTTCATCTTCTGGGAACCGCCCCCATCGGTCGTCGGGAGCTGGGTGGGCCACATCGCAGTACTTCGGTCGGTCGGTGTTTGGGGTCGAGCTATCCCTAGGGCTCCGATCGTCCCATCTCCTCAGGTTCGGTGGTTAGACCCCCCCAAATCCACCCCAACCATCTTCTCAGGAGGTGGGCCAGGAGCCCGGGTATATATATAGCCGCAAAACCGCAGGACGGATGCCCTGATGTATGTAGGTGCTTCCTGATGTGACGAGAAGAGGGGTGCCTGTTTTCCCATCAGGGATGCGCAGATGGGAACCTGGTGTTTGGGAACCTCATTCTGAAGGGCGGACTCCAACAATCTATCTCATCACCCGCGATATCCCACCCTCTGAAACAAACCGCGAGATCGTGTAGAACACACACATGGCAAATCCGACACACACACACACACACACCCAGGATATCCAACGTTTGAGCAAGATCTTTGGTTGTTCCAACGTGAGTTGCGCTCCTTCGAACTCACAACTGGTGCAAAGGAGACCCAGTCAAGTGAACGAGACGAAACGAGACGCGGGGTTCTGGTGAGATGGAGGTACCAAAGGCCTTGGAGGGCCCAAAGCTCTTCTGAACATGATCAAACCTAGGATCAGAGTGATTCATACTGATACTGGCTCCAGGTGCAAAACATGTGATTTTGCGGTAATTGCTGTTCAATCTCTAGGTCTAGGTGTGTAAAAGATTGTAAAAGTCTCTATGCACCATCATCCACTAGCTCAATGGGATATGCGGATTCTAATTTGGGAATGGAAGAGAATCAGTCCCATAGGCTCATCAGTTGTTGGTTTTTTATTGTGTTTTACTGGCAATGGGGCAATTCTAAATAACAGGGGTTGAGGGTGGCAGCGGCAAACTTGCAGGACGCAGTTGCTGTAGGCCAAATTGACTGGAGAATGGGTTGGGGGGGTCAAAACATGACCAACAAGGTACTTGTATGTAGTTGAAAGGAGTTGAGTATTCTAGGACATCAGCCGGCCCGGATAAACATTTGGGGATGTGTTAATCTTTTTTCGCCACTATCGAGATCATGTTTGGTGCGAATGCACATGCACATGATGCTGCGGTTGTGTGGGTTGGATACTTCAGATAGGGATGCAACAAGCAACACAAGTAATCCATTTACATTTACGGTAACACACACACACATATATATGTATATAAATATCGCTGATTTAGTCGCAAGACGCAGTACATATATATATATATACATACAGAGGATTGAGAGTAAATGGCCGAGACCCCAAAAGGTGGTTTATATGGACCCCATCTAAAAGACATCTTGGGGTGCCAGTGCCATCGAACCTTTGAAACCACTGTATACTTGCGTGCAGGTTCTTCGCTACTTGTTCGATCAAGTCCTGTTGCGCCAACTTCGCAGCCTGCAGGAAGTTGGAGGAGCTGTCAACCTCGAAGATGCCGGAGGAGGCCATGAAGAAGCGGCGTTTGGGGCCCCCAAACCCTGCTCAAAGGCATCTACTTTCCCTTGTGTCCGTTTGCTATGGGGCTCATTGGCAGGTCGCCACATCTTGAGATGCGCGACCTTGCTTAGTAGGTTCAACAATGTCCGATCATCCCCCAATGATCCGAGGCTTTGTGAAGGTGGGTGACTTCAGGTTGATTTGCACGAGGATTCCAGGATTGAGAAATCAACGCCTGAATCCCATTTCCAACTCTTGTTGTAACTTGCGGTCAAACGAACTACCAAGCCAGGTTAGGCCGAACTGTGGAGACGGCCGGGCCAATGGAGCCGACTTTCGGACAGCCTCCCGCTTGTTTGGAGAGAAAAGCCCCCATCTTGTTGAGGCTTGGTAAGGGGCCCAGGGGTCGAGCTGTTCCACTTCCGTAATTCGAAAGGAGACAGAACACTAACCATGTGGACGCATTTGGACAGAACTCGATCCCTTTCTGAATCATCTTGGGTGCTCTCCGAGTCGCAGGATTTGCTCATGCGAAGCACCACAGCCAAGACCATCGCAGCAGCATGGAGCGACATACACCTTTGTCACTCGCCCGATGTGTGCGAATGATCAACTTGGTATGTGCGCTTGAGTGCGGTTTTCCGTCAACAGTTCCATGGAACATGGAAGTGCCTGTACACTGGGTCTATATTTGAATCATGCATGCAAAAACCCAGAGTTCACCAGCCCACGGTGGCCCCACCTGTTACATGCCAAGGGACATGAAACGAAACCGGACATCTTCTTTGATGCCCGCGGTCGAAGCGCGTGAATGGGCGGAGCAAAGATGACACCAATGGCGTGTGAGAAGACGGACATGGGACCGGCTTGTCACAGCGGCACCCACCATCAGGAGCCATTGAGATGCGGGCTTTCGGCTTGAGATGCGAACCCAGACAGCTGATGAGAAAAGCTGATATAGATGATATAGTTGATGCTCCATGGTCACTGATGAACAACACAGATTGAGTGCTGTTGCACTGATTTCGATGGTCTAAGACGGTTGTATCTACCTTTTTGTGGGGGTGGTGACATTTTTGGGGGGCTTTGAGGTTGGATGCCATCGCCTTTGGTTCCTTTTGCTATTGGGTGACATTGTAGGGACTCCTCGGTTGTAAAAATATTAGGTTTCCTCCGTGAAACCTCGTGGAACGCGTCCGAGCTCTCTTTGTGCAGCACGTGAGGCCAATGAGACATCTGACGCTGGACTCTCAAGTTCAGAAGGCTTCTGACTGTGGCTTCTTCTACGAAACAGAACTGAACACCAACTAAAGAGTCTGTCAATAAACAGTTGAATGTTTAATAAGTTTAATAATCAAAACCATCTTCCAGTTTTGCTGATCGTGATTCACTCAAACTGGAAGATCAGATGGCCGGCATGGTCTAGGGCGTGGAGGGTTAGAAGTTAGAACGCAACATTTCAAACTGGAAGGAAGATCATACTAGACTATACTGACTTCACGTGATTTGCCTGGTTTTCAGCTTGAACCCCCCCGATGTCCTGGATCGTTCACCCAGGAAGGGCATGAGGAGGACTACCAACTCTCGCAAGATGCACTCTTCGCCGACGGATTCGTGAGCCACTGCTGGGCACCCCCAGATGATTGGGATGAGGTCATGGGAGAGGCTCGGGTTGGGACGCGAGATCAGGTAGAGAGGCCACTGGTTCTTGTTACTTGCAACATCTTGCAGTGTGTTCTTCTTTTTTTTTTCTGGTGATCTCATGATGCAGCAGTGGACTTGGCGTGGAGCAGATTTATTAGTCTGATCTTGAACATGGCGGCAAGCTACCCGATACCGCGCACGCAGCAGAAGACGTTCCAGTCCTTCTTTCTGTTATTTTTGTCCCTCCCTTCTTCTTGCTTCTCAAGAAGCCCTGCAGTCGTGCACGCCTCGCATAGGAGGTCTCTTATGCGGAAGTGAAGGCCACCACCTTAGCAGTCATGGCGAAAGACATCGCCCTCGGGCGAGACAGGTCTCTGTCAGCGTGGGGTTCGATCACCTTCTGGGTCGACACTTGCCTTCTGGGTCGACACGGCTCGTTTTGGTCTGCAAAGGTGAAGATTTTGTGTTTCGATGCTACGATCAGATCATGTCTATGGGGAACCGATTTATTGATGTTGATTATATTGTGTTGTATATAATATATGCATGTATACATCAAACATGCAAATACGGGTGTTGCATTTTTGTTGGAACATTTGCAATGTTTCGATGCTTTGGGTCTACGACATAGTGCAAAACAGCTTGCCGTATGAGTACCACACAAGTGGCGTATGAGTACCTCGGATTTTTACTTTAGATACAGTATCTTTAGATGATGAGGAACCAGAATCTCAGAAAGTTGCTTGTCGTGTGGGCGGTGTTTTGTTGTTGACTTCTCAGGATAAAGCCTGCATTCCACAAGACCATGAAGACCTGAAGGCGCTGTTTTCGAGCTGGTTTCCCCTCCCCAGCGGGGATTTGCAAAATCCCACACCCGAATCTTGGCGTTGGAGGTATGGGCTGTGAAAAGCCCTTCAAGGCAACATAACTATAGCAGCTAGCATACTGCAACAGCCAGCTATTAGCGTATACACGCGTGCCTGCCCCTTTGTCAGGCCAGGTGTGTGAATCTCTTGGAGAAGTTCATCCTCAAGTGCGAGTACACCTGTGTCCTGTTTACCTGGAACTATCTGGAACGATTGTGGTGTATCTATGAATGGGCTTGCTTCTTGATCAGCCAGGACGTCGTTGGACCCTTGCTTCTGGAGCAATCGTTGCCATTCGATCTCACGCCAGCACCAATTAGCATCATTTTCGATCTTCCAACTGTGCGGTGTTTTTGCCGCCGGTTGGCTCATTTTTTGGGATGCAAAGACAGAAGTTCTGCATGCTAGAGAGAATCTTGTGAGGTGTGATTGTTGGTAGTGTGTTGTAGTTTCGATGTTCTATTTGGTCCTCCCCAAGCTAAGTATCCTACTTGCTGAAGACCAGTTGCCCGAAAAGAATGATGGTCACTGCTGAAGAGATATGAATGCATTCTTCGGTCCTGGATGAGTGATGTTTGGGGACACTCGTGAGAATCGAGAACAGGTCAACTACTGGTTAGCTTAGAGGTGCCCTTTGATCCCTTTCTTGGAGATTCAAGCCAATTTGCCCAAAGAGTCTACAGTTTCCAAATCCGACTTGAGGACATTTGGATGTCAAATGCCGCTAGTCAAGCGCAACTGGCGGGGTGGCTTAGCTGCCTTCGCAATATGATACTGCACATCCACGGACCCAAAATGGCCACCCTATCAGATGGATCCAAACACACCACCACTCTTCCCACGCGCTCGTTCTCAAACATATCACATCTAACCCCGCCGGTTCGTCGTCTCGTCGCTTCGCTTCCCTCTCTCCCGCACACTGACCGTCACACATACGCCAAACACGCGGGTCTGGAGGACTTCAACAAAATCTTCCTGCAGACTGACGTGTTGGTACAAGATGCGCTGTTGCCCTTGCACCTTTGCTCCTGCTTACTCGGCCGAACGCCCGCCGGCGTGCGTTCGCCGACGACGTCTCGACTGCGTCCGGGACCGGTCCGGACCCTGAGGAGTCCAAAACAACAAGACCAATTGACATGTCTTGTGTACCAAGGGACGCCAAGGCAACGGGATGAGCAAGGCAGTCCCAGTCCCAGGTCAACCACCCCAATGAAATATGCTATACCCATAGGGTCCAGGTACCTCCGTACTTCGGATGGTCGAACGGAGGTGAGTATGTACTTCCGGAGAATGGTCGAACGGGGGGTCTGGCAGGACATCCGATTCGGATGGTCCTGGACCCTTAGGGTGACCCATTTTGTGTGAGTTTGGGATCCCAGATGTTTCTGTTGTTCTTCCAACTTCGGTACAGCGATCTTGACACGAGTCGGGAGGTGTGTGGAGAGTGGCAGTTGGTACCTGCACTGCCTTCTTTGCTTTTACATCCTATACTCATCAAAGTTTAAAATAAAGAGAGCACGTGGGGATTGGTTTCCCATCCAATTGGACAGGGGGAAAAATGTCATGCGTTTTCTGTTCTTTCTCCCCCCAAAAAAATGATTTGGACATGAGTCCTGTCAGGAAACTGCCAAAGCCCTTCTTTTTTTGCCCTTGTTTTGACCTGTCAGTTCTCTAAACATCCACCGTTCCACCGTGAAGCCGGCTCCGTTTCGCAGCCAATGCCATGAGGTATTTGGACTCCGTGCGGAACTTTTCGTTGAAGAAAGCCAAATGCCACAAGGCATGGAAGAGAGAACATGGGAAGCCAGATGCAGTCCACGAGATGCGGGGGGGCGAAACCAAGGCTTGCGGGCAGATGGCATAGGATAGGATGGGGAAGGCTGCCTGAAGTGCTTGGCATACGTGAGTTAGAATTGACCGATGTGTGTGCCAAAGCCGATGGTTTCTTTGCCAATGCGCCATTGGCCAAAGGCATGATGGACTTCAGGGGGCCCGTCGGTTTCATTTCTATGCCTTAATCCAAGTCCATTTTTTGATTCTATCCTACTACTATCCGCTACTATCTCCTATTACACTCCCGAAAACTAACGAATGACAGCCTCAAAGACTGTTTTCCTCTACAAACTGGTTTTCAGGGTTCCGTACTGGGTCCATGGCATCTCTTGGAGGTCCATGGCATCTCTTGGAGGTCCATGGGATCTCTTGGAGGTCCATGGGATCTCTTGGAGGTCCATGGGATCTCTTGGAGGTCTGGTACTCCGAGGGGTTAGAAAAGCTTGACTTGCAGCTAGCTGTTCCACCAGAGCCCCCATTGGCCCTGCAGCCGAGGTGCACCACGACCAGGCTTCTTCTTCCTAGTAGCGACGGCCTTCAACCTAATAGCTTCTTAAGAGTATACCGATGGCCTCCAACCGACTTGCGATGGCCTACTTGCGATGTCCTTGTTACGGGCTTTGTTTCGGTACCAACATCAAGGTCATGTTGGGTTGGCACTCAACCATCCTTGACCAACCACAATTGAGGCCCTGACTGCGCCAGGAATCTGACAGGAAGCTGCTTGAACAGAAGATCCACCGTGAGTACGTCTCGGAGGCGCCTGTACGACAGGGGAGACAGGGACTCGATCTTGGGCCGGACGGTACTACTTCCCTAGTGACATGTGAGGCCTATGAGGTTTCTGCCTTTCTTAAGTCGCATTCTATAAAAACCATACGCGCAAGAAGCAGGCCCACCGCCCGAGTCGCAAAACAAAACACCAACTGTCGTCGCGCCACCCACGCAGGAGGCCTTTGAAAAGCTCATGCAGGCCACTGTGATCGCATTCATGGCACGTTCCATGGCCTATCCCGCTGGCCGCAACCCTGAGCTTGAGAGGCGCCTGTATACGCCATGGGTACTTTGGCAGCTGAGGGGGTGAGAGGTGAGAATCGGTGAGAAACGTACAAACATTAAAATGACTCCGATGGCCTTCTTGTGCCGACGAGATGCTCGTTCACCTCTTGTTTTTCAAGTTGTCTACCTTCTACCTCCCACGATCAGGAGCGTCAGTGGAGTTAAGATAGCAGAACCTCATGCAATGCACAGAGACCATGCTGAGATGAGGATCGAGGATTTGATACGTTTTCTTCCTCCAGACAAACCTCTAATCCATGAGTCTAGAGCGTCCGGAAAGTAATTGGCAGAACTCAGGAATGGATGGACTCTACAGAATGGATGGGACTGTTACAACTCAGAGCCTCAAACGTTTTGCCACAGCTCCTTGAGCGAGCCAAACACGCCAAAAAGCCGCAGACCCCTGGACGACCCCACTAACGAAGAGGGCGCCACAAACACTCAAAGCACTGGACCCAAGAGGGGCCAAGCCTATTTATATCATGCTCACCCAAGAGCTCACTTGCGCAAGCGCACTCACATGTCAAAGACCCTCCTTGACTGGACGGCGTGACTTGTTTTTTCTCATTACATATCTTGATCGTTTTCCAGCTGACTTGCCCGTTTGCAGCAAATTTGCAAACATGTTGCAACTCAAAGGCCATGTTAGTGGTGCTTCTATGTGTTTCTGGCCTACACCTCAGGTGTCCTTAGCCTGGGAGCTGCACATGGACGATTTGGCCTTGGCCTTGGCCTCCTTCCATTCCAGGGAGTTCCGCCGCATGGCGCGGCGAAGGGTTGAGTTTTGTGGGTTCCGCGGTCCGTGGCAGGTGGCAAGACATGAAGAGATGAGCATGGGCCAAGTTTGATGAAGCAAAAGAACCAGGTCAATTCAGCTCAGGATGTTTAAAACATGTTTGCACATCATCTAAGTCTCCTTGATTAATCAAGGCTCGACATGACTCCGCAAGGTGTTCTTCCCCGAACTGTCCGAAACTGCCCGCAACAGGCCTGCAGTGGGTCTTGGCTTGAACAAAGTGCCCCAGACATTTTGGCCTTGCCGGACGCGAAGCACCTCGAAGAGCTTGCTGCGCAGATCGACCTCCATACAGCCACTGGGATCTGGGTGGCTGGTCGAAGGTGTGAGAATCTAAAACTTGTATATATAGACCCTAGAAGTCCTGCAAAGATCTAAAACTATCTAAAACTTGTGATTTCTATAGGTACCTATTATACTGCATAATTATATGCAAGTATATTATGATTGTTTCATCTATATTTGCACCACTGGAGTAAAGGAAGCTCCTTCTTTGGGGAGGTCATCTAAGCTTACACCATGCCATCGATCCATTCCATCACAGCGTCACCAGTCACCGGAATCACCGACCAAGTGTTCAAGGTGCGGACGGTGTGGTCCGGTCTGCAGGTGAACAGTGTGGAGTACCACAACGTGGTTTTGGATCCTTGGCCACGGTCCGATGAATCAATGGGTTTCCGGGAATTCTTCCGATACACCACAACAGGAGCAAAGAAGCGCGTCACACGGCTTGTGTTTTTGTGTAGAACTTTTGGAGAAAGCGTCAGCCGCCGAACTGACCAAGAAACCCATCACAAAAAGGAAAGCGTCCCGAAAAAAGCTCAGCCATTTTGGGGTCAGCCGTGCTGTTCTTCTCGGTTTTGTTTGGATATGTTTTTGGTGCCTGGGCTTTTGATCCGGCTGAGAAGGCTACAAAGACGGGCCCAAAAAGGGTCAAAACAGCCATCCGAGCGGCTGGTGGTGCTTTTGGTGCAGCTCTGGTCTCACCAAGTAATCCGTAGCATCCTTAATAAAACGAATAAAATATAAATGATGTGTGTTTATCATGTGTTATGATGTTTTGTCTTATTGTGATGGTTTATTTGTTCCCTATAGCTATGCTTTTCTTCCCCTTTCTGGTGGAACAAACACATGTTCATGAATTCCCCGTTAGTTTCAGGTCCTTCGTCGTTCGGACGAGTGGGTAAGGTCTTTTCGTCGAACAGTAGCCACACATCGGACGAACTTCGGGAACCGGTCGGTAGCCAGAAGGATCGACCCTTTTCGAACTGTTTCGACACGTTGAAGACCATTTTCCTTCATACAACCCGGGTTTTGGTGTTCCATGTGAAGCTGCAGGAGAATAAATGTAGCCTTCCAAGACCATTAGAAAAGGGTTGACCTGGTCTTGCAGTGCAAAATCCTTGGTAAAACGATGGTTGTTCGGAATTTGAACCATTAAATGAATGGCCAGGAATCCAAGCGGTGGTTCCTAACACCCGTTGGATTCCTGGCCGACTCATTTGCTTCTTTTTTTTGTGAAGATTGTATTGTAAGTTGGAGTTGGAAGTCCTACTAAGTTCTTCTTTGAAGACCTATCCACCTGAAGTCGACCCGTGAAAATGCCCCAATGGCCCAAGTTCGTCGCTGAGTTCGGGTCATCGTCTCAACCCTTTCGGGTTGGAGGCATCGTTAGGTTGGAGGCCATCGCTCATCCAACTGGTCACATCCTGCCAAGGCTGCCAAGGCCCATGGTGTTCCGGAGGGTCACAGGTGACCCAGAACTGCTTCAGGTAAAGCTCGGGTCGTTCGACTCACCCCCGAGACGGTCGGCTGAACGTGGGGTGGACACTCGACGAGAAACAAGTCGAGCGAACTCGGTTTACATCACGTTTGAGATGTCACCATCAACTGTGAATTGGTAATGGGGGGAGACCGGGGGTGACAATATGAGATATACCCCAAGCTTGTCATTTTAAGTGAACACATGGCGCGACACCAAGCACACTGCGGCCAATGAGAAAGCATTGTAGCACAGCGACGATACAACGGTACAACTACAATCAACTATATACATCGAGGTTGACAGCATGTGAAACGGCGGAAAGTAGAACATACGGCACATCTTGACACAATTCATACCTAATTATATAGCCATATAATACATATATATGTAATTGCACATGTATATTATATAGAGTATCAAAGAGTAATACACGTTGATATAGTTTGTCACAGCCAGCGCGGGCCAACTAACCTGCCAAGAAACTGTTGGGTGGTTTATGCTTCCTCTTTCCGAAAGCGTTTTTCACTGGACCCCTTCTGAACTTCAGCCCTTTGGCCAACTTCAGCACGTTTGGCCATCAAGGAGTGGTTTGGCTTGGAGGTGACCCCGATCTTGATACAGCAGAGAAAGCTGGCATCGGCGGCGAGTGACGCAGACAGTGAGAGCACCTGTTTTGATGTGACACACTCATCACTTGGAGGTGCCCGTCAGAGCAGCTCGGAAGGAACTTCCCTGCTTGGTTGCTACTAAGGGTTTTCCAGCCCAGGTGCCTACCAGAGATTTTCCAGTGCACTTTGAATGCGCGGATTTTTGGAGGGGTGCGACAGTGGCCGTGGTGAAGAACTCGCATGCATGAAGACGTGCAGCGAGTTGCTTGACCAGGTGGCCATGTTTTGCCTGGCGGCCGGCTCCAGCCGGGTCCTCCAGGGGCACAGTTTGCAGTTTTCATGGCCTGTTCGCCTGGACAACTTGAATCCCTTGTTGAGATCAATGCCAGGAGTGGTTCGCTTGACGAGTTCCTGGTCGCTGGGGCTGTCGAGGCCAAGTGTTTAATGGACAATGCTTAAAGCATAGCCTCATTTCATTTGCTAAGGCCATCAGTGCCGCTGAACGTGTTTATTGCCAAGAAGGCTTGCACCCTGAGACAGTTTGTTTGGTGCGATCATTACTTTTTAATTTGTGGTTTCGCCACGAAAGAAGCTGATTCAACTTTGCACAACCCAGTCGGCTCAACCAGTTGCTGGTTGGCACTGTTGAAGCTCGGCCTCAGCATACCAGCTGAGCCACGTGGGTGGCCAATTGGGTCTAGAGGTGAGGACACACAAAGCTAGAGTTTGCGTTTGGTGTGGAAGTGTCCTCAAAAGAAGACATTCCATCAACATTGAGGAACAACCCATTGTTCACCATCCCTTTTTCGTGGTTTAACCGCATTGAAGATTGGACATGAAGTCTTCAACCAGACCCTGGTCAAAGGCCCCCTTTGTTGCACGCGGGCGGGCGGTTGAATCCGTGCCCTGTGCCTCGTCAGTGATCTCGTCACTGCCAGGCAAACCTGCACTTGTTGTGTAGCCCGGAGCCGTCCTGAAGAGGCTTCAGGGCCTTGGTTTTGCTTATAGGGTGATCTATTATATTTTCCATATTGGTAAATAATCCCCTTCTGGGGAATATCCCTTAGCAAATCCAAGAGTGGCAGATGGGCTCCGAGTAAAGAAAGCCGCGGTTGTTTTCGTAGCTGACAGATCAGAGGCCCCACACCTTGTCATGAGACCTACACTTTGGAAGTTGTGCCCTCGAAAGTTTCAACCCACCAGCGAACTTTTGTCCCAGTGCGACTTGCTTCACTGGGTTTTCTGCGGGTCATCGTGAACCGACAAGAACCAACAAACAAACATAACAAACAAGCAAACAACATATCATCGCATTTTACCCTTTTGAAGTCCCAAGGCTATTTTAGGATATTTTAGGGACCACCGACGAAGTAAAGAATTTTCCTTTCGGACCTAAAGACATTTTTGAACATACTCTTGGACTTCCAGGGTTTTATGCGGCTTTTTCTGATAGTATTGCATGTTACTCATGTGACCGTGTGCTTTCATCAGAGGAGCAGAGGAAACCTGCAGAAACTGCTCCTCACGATTAGGTTTTAATTCTCCCAGAACGGCTTGCAAATTCGAGAAAGTCTCAAGAGAACTCCAACTGGGGAAGGCTTGGGGTTCGACTGTGGTCACTATGAACGCCGCTGATGCCTTGTGGCGTTAGATGAAAACGATATGACATCCTCCAAATTTGCAAGCCCACAGCTGCTGTGCCAGCACAGCCTAAACCCCAGCCTTGAGACTCATCATTTGCTGTGAGCTCACGCTGAACATGTTTGTACAGAGCTTCAGAGGCGAAAAAACGAGTGAAGTGGGTTCAACGAGTGAAGTGGGCTCAGACATGCTCAGACCATGATTTTCAGAAGTTG